CATTTCTAAGCTACACACTAATTGTGTCAGCTTTCCTTTATGGTCAAAGATAAGAGCAGTGATCAACATTTCATGATTTTCCTGTCTGTGCTCATTAGCCCAACATGATATCAACTCTCGCATGTCTTGACATTTAGTTATGTGTGAAAAAAATCTAGATTACTTGGCAGCCTACTATAAATCTATATTGGCCAAGTGCCCCCTAGTGGCCAGTGCATGTGGACCCATGCCAGGAAAGCCTGGTAATCCACCTTCATATACTGAACACACATAAATGATTTTCATGTATACATTCAAGCCATAGAGCTCTATGCAAAAAGTTTGGACACCCCTGGTCAAATAACAGTGACATGTTTTGCTGATTTTCTAAGTGAAAATAAGTTAACACATCCTCTACAGAGAACACACTCCTGTACATCTATGAGACATTCTGGCTTTGTGAGGCACAATAGTACCCAATATACACATATTTTTCCAAATTTTCCACTATTTTACAATCATTATTACATACAAAAACTCAGAAGACGTGTAGAAGATGTGTGGGTTCACTGGTGGTTTTGGATAGTGCATAAAATGACCGCATGTGTGTTACAAATCTGAATCAGTAAGATTCTCTACAACGAACCATTTCACATCAGCGAACGCATTTGATTACACTTTAATGGCTGAATTATGTACAAGTCAAAAAATCCCCTTTAAGCAGTATTTTATTATATTTCAGTCTTATTTGTTTCATCAAAACTATGTTTATATGACACTGTTTTTTAGATGACAGTAACAGTCCTTTGAGTTCATAGCTGATGATACCATCCTGTAAAAGGGTGCTACAACATTGCTGTGACAAACTAAGGCTCCAGGATCCACATAGAGGATTGTAAATAGCAAAAGGGTTTAATACAGTCACAAACTAGAGCAGACCAAAAATCTCCAACAAAAGCTGAGAAAGATGAAATAATTGGAGGTCAAAACTACAAGCAAATCCAAGCTAAGAACTGCAGTGAGGAGACTGGCAAGACCTTGCCAGTTGACAACTGACAAGAGCATGGGCACAGAAGCAGAATCTGTATATGGAGGGTAATAGAAATAGATTGAGAACTGGTGAAAATGACCAGGGGTAATTACCGTGGAGACAGTTCAGTACTTGGGGAACAAGGCTCTCTGGTGGCCAGTCCTGGGACTGCCAGAAGCAGATGTGACGAGTTCTCAGAGAAGAACAGGCTGTGTAGAGATGTACTGGTTTGCTTCACAATATACAGTCAGGTCCATTAATATTTTGATGTCTACCACAGCATACAGGACTAGAAATTAAATAATGAATATTAGATGTAAAGATGAGCTTCTGCTTTAATGTAAGGGTGTTTCCATCCAAATTGGTTGAATGGTATGGGAATGTCAACCATTTTCATATATTGACCCCCCCACCACACACACACACACACACACACACACACACACACACACACACACACGCACACACACTTTTGGGATTTAGTAGTAATTGGACAAACTAACATGGTCACTTAACTTAATAATAAATAATACTTAATACTTAAACTTGAACTGTGCCCCTTATCTCTTTCCCTCAGCTGAGCGGCTGCCCGTCCTAAGAGGATCTGATGTGAACGTCCCAGGGGATCTGATGCGGCCGGCGCACTGTACAGAATGTAAAACTGTATCCATTTATACTGTTTTGTGTCTGTGCTGTTATCTGGTGTCGACCAGAGGAGGATGGGTTCCCCTTTTGAGTCTGGTTCCTCTCGAGGATTCTTCCTCCTGTTGAGGGAGTTTTTCTCTGCCACTGTCACCAAGGCCTGCTCACTGGGGGCGTGGACCCGGATTCTCTGTAAAGCTGCTTTGTGACAACATCTATATAAATAAATTTGACTTGACTTGACTAAACATCACCCATAGACATCACCTTTCTTCTGTGGTGATGCTCTGCTAGACCTTTCCTGCTGTGGTCTTCAGTTCCTTCAGTTTGTTCTTGGAGACTTTTGCCTCCAGTTTTGCCTTCAGTAAGTAAAATACATCCTCAGCTGGACTGAGGTCAGGTGACTGATGAGCTCATATTCACTATTCCATATTCAATAATTCTGTTGATGTCCAGCTATTTATGGTTCGAAAAGATGTTATTAATGTCTTTGTAATATTAAAAAATATGACACTAAGTATCGTTAACTAAATGATTAGTGACATTTAATAACTAATAATTAAAGATTAATAACTAATTCATCACATTTAGCCATATTACCAACTGAAACTGGGCTACAGAACACTGAAAATATGAAATAAGTTACTGAATATTGAGGATGTAACAAAACAGCAACAACAGTGTATTTCATAGAGAGCTTGAACGTTTCAGATGGATTTGGAAATGAGACAGTAGCGAACTCTGACTAGCTGACTTGTAAAGCCTGGTCCACATGGGAGTGAGGGATACTACCATTCATTCGCAGTGTAAGTCTTTATTATGCGGTGGTCCCAGGTGGACGTGTCTAAATTTTTAGGTTCCATTCCTTGAGGACCTCTGGTCTTCTGTTTTCCATCTTCAAGTATTCTAAATGCACGGTCAGACATATTTGAAATGAATACCTTTTGGATCATCTGTTGTTAGTGTGTCCGTTGGACTTTCTGCCCCTGTTGTGCTTAGACCCTTTTGGCACCCACTGGTTCAGTGTGTTCAGTGTTAAGTCCTTTGGTTTTTGATTAATAACTAAATTGATTAAGACCTCATTTATGTCCTTTTGGCAGTAGAAATCACTCAAGAAAGTACTAAAGAATTGTACTGAGTGGTTTATTGCATGAACTAATAACTGAAAGTGCCAGAGTGGCTATAGGTTTTCATCCCAACACAGCAGGAGCTCACATGACCAACTGTTTAAAGACTGAGACCTGATTCTACCAGGAGGATCAGGTGTGCTGCAGTTTGTTTAGAACTTTGTCAATAAGATTGAATATCCCTGTTTTACATCAGTGCTGAAAGTCATAGCAGTTTGAGAAACTGGACTGCATGTTGACTGGTACTGAAAAAAATGAACTTGGCCCTTAGTAAATTTTACATAATAAAATTGTGCATGGTTTCTCAATTTAAATGTTTTTGCTTCAACTAAATAATAATACGCAATGTTGAAAAGCAGTAAACTGAACATATGAAACATGCTTAAAGTGAATTAGAAAAAATCATGTTGTGTCAAGGCCGTTTTCTACACCTCGTCTCTGGGAGGATTTGGCTGACCTGAGAAAATTCTGTCATCTTACATTTACAACAGTTATTGTCTGTTGTTTGTCATTATGGACATATATTCGTGACATTTACGCAGAAAAATATTGCCAAAAACGTAAGGTTAAGGGAGGACTTAGCATGGCTTAAAATTCGCTAGCTTAGCTAACTTAGCTGGCTAGCCAGGTTAGTTCAAACCGATGCATTTTTACACATAACGTTACTCAGACAGATAATCACTAAACTCACTAAAGCTGACCGCAGTGTTTTAATTGTAAATGTCAGTGTTTTAATTTAATGTGTTCTTCATAGTTATCTGTCTCTGTTGGTCACTTGAGGTCCTCACTAAGTTTGCTTATGAACACAGCCGTTAGCAAACGGTACTGTGGACCTAGCCTGCTAGCTAGCTAGGTTAGCTAAGTAACGGCGCCATTTTCTTAAGTTCACTGCAGACGAGTGCATTTAGCTGCTGTGTCATTGTACAGGTACACGGTAAAATAGTGTTTAGATGGTTGTAGACGCACAAATAACGCAGCGTTGGATATAACAGATGAAAACGTACAGTTAAGGGACGACTAGCATAGCATAAGTATGTGAGGGGCTCAATTCAACGCATATTTGAAGTAAACAGACTTAGTTGTGTCCTTGACATGACCTGTAATCATCTATTCCCGCGAAGGAGGCTGTGCTCGCTTCACCTGTGATTTTGGATGTGATATTTGGGTGTCAGGTGTCCACAAACCTGTGTAATTTCAGCCTTAGCTAGCTAGGTTAGCTAGCTCCACCGAGCCTGGGGATTGGATTTGGAGCCTGCAAGCGCTGGTGTAGCTAGCATTAGCTTAGCAAACATAGCGTTAGCAGCTAGTAGGTTACAGACATCAGTTAACTGGTTTAAGTTCAACGTTTGTCCATTTAAGAGTTAATGCTCTGTTCGATGAACCCAGTTTGCAGTGTGCTGTTCCAACACGGACTCTGATACCGTTAGCGCAGCTAGCTGGCGTTAGTTAGCTAAGCAAATGTTAGTGTTAGCAGCTAGCTGGCTAACTTAGCTAGTAGGCTACAAGCACCATGAAGCAGGTTTAAGATTAATTTCAGCTTTCTGTTCCTTCGACACCCATCGCTCGACTTTGCTCCATCAGCATTGTCAGTGGAGATTTAGTTCAGCATAATAGAATCCGTTATCTTGTTAACTATCAAGCTAATGCTAACTGTTCAGCCCTGTAGTGGAAAAGAGGTTTATGTTTGCCCGTATAACAGCAGAGTGTCACTGCTCATTATTATAATCAGAATATAAGTTTGTATATAAGATGGTGCACACACACACACACACACACACACACACAAATGTATGTTGCTCATGTAACCCCTCTGTCATTGTTACCAAGATGGGGTTTACCTTATGTTTAGTCAAACTGCATTTATGTTAAACATTATGGTCTTCAAGTGCCGAGTGGTAGAAGTAATTATTATACATTGATTTTGATGCTCAATAATGCGCAAACCCTAGACAGGGAATCCTGATAGCCATATTGATTAAAAGAACCATGATGTGACTTAAATATCATAGTTGGTTTCAAACTAAAATAATGCTCAAAGGATTAAAACAAATAGCTTTTTATGAGTAAAAAAAATATATATATATATATATGTTATGTCCTTCCACATGGTGAGATAAAACATTAAGGTAAAGCGATAAAGCATTAAAGTAAAGCTTATGTTTAAGATAAAATGTTAACATCGTCTTTCATTAATTTTATTTAAATGTCCTCTTTGTTTATAGGTTAAGGCTTACCAAGGTTGTTGAGTGCCATGTTTTAAATGATTCTCTGGCATGTTCTAAGTCTCTGGTAAGTGCATTTTTATGATCCAGATTTGATATTTGTATTTAACTATGAGGCTATTTGTTTTGTAAACCTACTTTTTATTTATTTGTTTTATTGTTCAAATTAGTAATCATTTTTCTCTCTCTAAGATGATCTGGATTTTGATGTTCATATGGTTCTTTTATCTGTTCCTTGTATGCATGTCAAGTTAATGTACCATTTTTTTAAACAGTTGAAGGTATATTCTAACAAGTGCAATCAATATGTGCAGGTGAAGAATGTCCACCTTAAAAGAGAAGCCATCATAAAAGCTCTTTGTCCGTACCTGAATGATGATGGATTTCTTATCAAGGAGTACAGGGTAAGTCAGTTTGTGACCATCTAACTAAGGTAAATTCATCTTATTTGATATTTGAGCTCTTTTAAATACTTGGTGTGTGTCTTCCAGGCACCTCAGTTCGTATATCAATTGCTTATAACATTTGCTTAATAAAATCAGCACCCCACCTGTATAGCTCTATTCAACAATAAAATACACATTATGCACATGGTACACACAATCCTTGGTTAATATGAAAAAAGGCATTCTTAAACAGACAAAAACATGTCAGTTAACTGGCTTTTTTGTGCTTCAGCCACATTTAAAAACTCGATGCGACTTTTAGGAATGCATTTTCATTATGAGATTTTTTTTTATCAGTTGAGGTGTGTGTACGGAGTGTGTACTAAGGCAATGGAACATAAGAGTTACTCTGCAACATAATGTAGTATGCATGTTTATAGTAGCGTGTCATATGGCACTTCTCAAACATAAAGAGCTGAAACTGCATTCACTTTGCCATTCATCACTATTGCATAAAACTGCAAGTATAGTCTCTCATCTTACCATTTTCTCATGATTCCTGTTCATCTCTTCACACTATTCTTACTTCCACTGCTAAGCTGCCCGGTAAATCCAAATCGAAACGAGGCGTTGGTGTGTTAGTATGTTAGCACCAACCATAGATTATAGGTGCTAGTGTGAGAAGGGTGAACTAGAACTATCCATTTTGTAATGTGTATTTTACCATTGAATGGAGTTTTGTGGAGATGGGGGCTGATTTTATTTAGATTAATCATAAAATAAGTATTTGATATTTAAAAAAATGTCAGAGGTGCCTGGAAGTATTTAGAAGAGCTCACATGAGAAATAAGCTGAACTTACTCTTTATGGAACAAGAGTACAATGAAGTTTAGTATTAATAACAAGATTTAATTTGTAGGACATTCATGGTGAAGACATCTTGAGAGGCCACAGCACTGAAATGGACATTTATGTCATCAGAAGAGGGTGGAGCTCTTGGAAAATGTGAAGACGTTGAGCTGATAGAAACATTATTGTAGGAAACATCAAATCAGTTGCACCAGATCTGCAGTAATGCTTGGAGTAATCTATGCCCTGAATATGGCTCATCACAATGGGTGGAAATGCTGCTATGAATTTGTACATTCCTCATCCCAAAGGATGGTGCAAAGCTCTCCCCTAATATTCTTGGTTTGGAGAACAAAATCTTGGGATAGTCAAAGTAGGCTGTCCATTCTGGAAATATATGGAACTTTTCACACTAGCTTGACTGAAAAGCAGTGGACTTTTGAACAACGCTTAAGTCACATGAAACAAGAATGGCTGTATTTGTCAACATCTCTTTTAAAATTCAGTGACATTTCAATGATTTTCTATACAACATGTCAAGATCCTGGTCATGATTAAGAACAATATGTCTTAAAACGGCATGCAGTTAAATAGCCTTTTGAACAGTTTGAGCTCTATAAAGTCTAACAAGCAAAATAACGTTGTACTAACTACAGGCAGTGCTTTGACAAGAAGGCTGTACTCTGTAGGGATTATTTCTGGGGCATTATTTTGATCATTGATGACAATTGGATATTGTATAAAGTCATATAACATTAATACTGTGTTATTGTGCTGTTCTATTTTTAATATCTGCTGTTGTAAAGTTGCACTTAAAGTTGGTGTTATCATGACATAACTACAGAATGTTACTGCATTGTTTCACAAATTCTGGGCCTTTACTTAAGACTTAATTAATTGTGATGAAAGGCACACACATTTAGGTGAATGTGTTCATAATTGCACTGTTGTGTTTGAAGCTTATTGTTGTATGTAAAGTTGCATTTTAGCTTGTGTATTATGTATTGATAGCTGTGCACTTTTAGAGAAGTATTTAGTCTATTTTTTACTACTCTATTTTATTTTGTCTACAGTCTTGTTTTATTACTTAATATTCAGCGTTTTTCTATAGTGGTAGAGCAAATGTGTATTTTAGTTGATCCTAATATGCATGTGCATTTGATGTACCTTAATAAAGTCACTGTAACACTGTAAGTGTAGTTGAAGTTTAATTTGTGAAAATGAATGTTTAAAATTGTACATTAATAAATGCTCTGTGATATAATTAAGCTGTTGTATCAAATAAATAATGAGTAACTATTTGGAAACACATCAGAATTGAGTAGTTTTACCAAAAAGTTATTTAACAATCTACATAATTTAATGAAATAGCATGAACATAATTAAATCTAGTTAAAATTACACTTCAAGGAAATTTTACCAAATATAATTAAGCTGAAAACTTATAATCAATGAGTAAATGTCATCAGAAAGGCATCAAATTTGAGTTGATTTAACAAAAAAAAGTTGTATTTATAACCATCTATGTAATTTGCTTAAGTAGAAAGAACATGATTAATTTTAGTTAAAATTACATTTTAAATTATGGAAATAAATCCTGCAAAATGTAGTTAAGTTGACATTGCTTATAGGTAATGAGTAAATGTTACTCAAATTATATCTCTAGTGTAGATCATTTAATTTCATGCAACCCTTTGATGAAAAAAAAAATAAATTCAAAGTCATTTTTTTAAAGTGTGCACTCCACTCTCACATTCTGCTCTCTGTGTCTTTTTATCCTTTTTTCTCTATAAGTGAAAGGATGATGAATTCTGAACTCGGAACTACTTTTCTAAGCTGTGTCTGGGTGGTGTCATTAGGCTTTCACCATCTCCTTAGTGACCAGTGGAGCAAAACTGTCAAAACCTGGTTTGAAAAAAAAAAACATTTCTGATAAGCACTAATATGGGATTGTAGTATTTGCTAAGAAAAAGGTATTGATGTATTTTTCGAGTTCTCAGAAATAATTAGGTCTTCTCGGAATGCCTAGAAAGCCCTGATGGTTCTCCACTACATTATATTTTATTAAATACCATTTTCTAAATTTATGTTTTTCCAATAAATGATGGCTTCCGTTATTTTTATTACATCTTTCTGTCTTATTCACAAACTGACCAATCACCATTATACACATATAAACAACAATACTTTTTAAAATGGCAATGGGTTTCAAAGACCATTAAATTGGTTTTCGGACAAAAACTAATTTTATTTAAGTAATCACAATGTGGTATTAACATATATATTTTTTAATTCATTAAATGATTTCAGGTACATAAATAAATTCTACATTTCAGAACTGTGTAAATAGGCTACACACCATTTGGATACACAGAGCAGATGATGTAAATGCTACTGAAGTAATACTAGCAAGGTAAGTGATCATGGTTCTTCTTAACCTTAAAGAATATATACACATATGTATATGTATATATAAACGGTTGTCTTTATTGAATTGAAACGATTAGTTTAAAATTGGTGTTGAATTGTCGAATGATGATGGATCTTTACAATGGGTGTAAAAGTTCAGCCACTGTTTACAGTATATGCTTTAATTAAAATGAGTGTAGAAAAGCAGGTCTTTCTGAAAAAAGAGAGAGAGATTTTCTCTACGGGGCTCAAAACAGGATCAATTTCTACTGGGGAGGAAGTCTGCAGGCCCTTTTCAAGACGTACTCTAGCCTTAAGTCCAGCTTTTTTCTTTTATAGAAAATAACAACCACCGAAAACAGGAACTGAAAGTCTCACTTAGCTAGATGAGGCTTAGCAAGACTTATGCACAAGCTTTTCACTGACCCAATCTGTTCATGTGGAAGTCCACGTTTGCCATTCTTAGCACACCAACTAAGAGGAAGAACTAAAAACTAAAAACTAAAACTAAAACCCAACTAACACAAATCACTGCAAAACAAGGACATAAAATATATATTTATTTACATGAATATATATATATATATATATATATATATATATATATATATATATATATATATATATATATATATATACACACAATATTATAAGGTTTTGACAATTTTGTTGAAATTGAGTTATGTTAATCATTTAGTGCTGATTATTGCTGCTGTGGTGTTACTGTTTGTAGAGTTTTAAAAAGTACCTGAAAATAGCTAAAAATACTAAATTGTTGTTGGAAGGTTCAACCTCTAAAAATGTGGGATAACCAATCAAAGTTCATGTTTTACACATGTACCCGAGCTCAGCAATAAGATTATTTAGAGGGCTTAGTAGCTTGGTCATTAAGCCAAGTTAAATGAGCTTTTAGACTTTTTTAAACAATTTACTGAGAAATTATAGCAGCAGAAGGTAAGGTGAATGCTAATGTTCACTAAAGTTAGTGAACTTGGTAGACAGCTAGCTAAACTGTAATCTGAAATATAATAATAATAATAATGTAGCACTGTATGTTTTACACACACACACACATATGTATATATATATATATATATATATATATATATATATGCCCTGCGATGGACTGGCGACCTGTCCAGGGTGTATCCTGCCCAATGACAGCTGGGATAGGCTCCAGCACCCCACCGCGACCCAGAAGGATAAGCGGTTTAGATGATGTATGTATGTATGTATGTATGTATGTATGTTATATAACTAACATTATTGAACCATCCCCTCTTGAGAATCATACAGTCATCATTAACAATAATGATTGGAGATCCAAACTCTTTTGAAGGCAGTTACTAAAACTTTATGAGAAACTATGAGAACAGAACCAATTGCCATTCTCTTCTCTGGGCAGTAATTATACCTACATGATCTGAGCCAATAGACTGACCACCATGGTCCTGCAGAGGACATACAGTCATAAAAGTATCAAAGACACCCCCAAGTTACGCAGAACCCAGTGAAGCAGCCTTAAACAATGAAAAACTAGATTCCATAACCATTGCTTAAGTAACTGAAGTATTTAAGTACTTTGTTTATGATGATTTACAGTAGTTTTCACATACAGTGTACTGTCCTGCTGATGTCTATTTGACTATAAATACACTCCCACAGCAGCTGTCATTATTTAATTTCTCCACCTCTGTGGGAATAGCACAAATCTGAGTTGCTTTCTGGATAAGCTTTAGCAAAGTTTAAACTCTTCTGCCAAGGAATCTATTTGCTCAGGGCTGAGAGGCTTATGCTTACTGGTTACTGTAACTTCTCCATCTGTCTTTGACCTTTCCCCTTTGACTACCTCTGAAGATGTTTCTGTAACAGTCGGATGAAGAGCTTGATCAGAACTGTCTTCACCATCACTGGAAGGAGACTGCTCCTCCTCAAGGCAGGGATTCACTTGCTTTTCCTTTTTATTAGCATGGCTCAGCAACTCTTCTCTTATTCAAGCAATTCAACTTTTGCTTGCAGGACACGGTGTTGTTTTGTTCTTTCAAAAGTGTGCCACTGTCTGAACTCCTGAACACACCCCTCAGGGTCCTTTTTCTTCACACATTTACTCAGAACCGCAAAAGATTGTTCCTGACGTCGTTCTGATTCACCTGGAATACCAAACTTCTTACACAGTTTCTCTATTTATCTATCATTTGTGATACGTTTCCCTCAAATGCATCTCAGTCAGTGTATAACGAAAGCCAAGACATAACCGTGGATGTTAAATCAGACTGGGTAAAAACCCAGCTGTTCAGGGAAACAGGAAAAAAACTCCTGCACATTTAACTCAGGAACACTGGCCCAAAGAATTTACCTGCGCACCCCCCCACATTATCAGACCGACAAACACCGTCAGGCTGACAAATAGCCTGACGGTGCAACTACCAGTCAGTAATTCAGTGCCTATGACTTATGCGACTAAACACAAGACAAAACAAAAACTGACTGTCTTCTGTTTATCACTTGAGTTCTTTTCTTCTCAGGTCTCACTCACCATTTTTCTGCTGTCGAAGAAGAGATAGACCTCATCCCGCCTTTGTTGCCATTGTCGTAAATCTCTGTCTTTGCCAAATTAGAGAGTTCAGAAGATCAGGGTTTGCAGGAATATAATATTTTGCTTGAAAAGTTCTCTGTCCAACCTGACCACACCACAACACCCAGTCTGAACCTGTTTTATAAACGGATCTTTAAACCTGATGCACTCGCCCCCCCACCCCCCCCACCCTAACGCCCCCGCAAGGCTTTATATAGCATACCATTTTAATCATTAACATTTCATTCCTAATTCCTTACTATGGGTTTAATTTCATTCTTTTGTGTTGGTTCAGATCCTTTACCGTTACTCACTTTTCTCATTTTAGAGATTTAGTTTTTTTATTATAGACCAAAAGGATTCAAAAAGAGAAGAAAAGACTCTAATACACTTCAGTTTCTGTACAGATAGCTGCTGGATGTCCTCGGAAGTTCCACTGTCGTTCTGTAAATTTCATTCATTTTTGAGCTACTACTTTTGTACTTATGCTGAAGTTGGTTTTTGTAAAGATGCTTTTACTTTTAGTGATAATTATACTTTATTCTAAACTTTAAAAAA